TCGGGGATTGAGAGAGCCCCAAGGGCTGGGGGGTCACTGGGGATGAGGGATCCCAACAGGGATGGAGAGAGCCCCAAGGTGGTCCCGGTGGGATCTCAGGACTGGGGGGTCCCTGGGGATGTGGGATCCCTGGGGATGGAGGATCGCTGGGGATGGGGGATCCCAACAGGGATCGGGGATGGAGAGAGCCCCAAGGTGGTCCTGGTGGGATCCCAGGGCTGGGGGTCCCTGGGGATGAGGGATCCCAACAGGGACGGAGAGAGCCCCAAGGTGGTCCCGGTGGGATCTCAGGGCTGGGGGGTCCCTGGGGATGTCGGTATCCCAATGGGGTGCAGCGATGGGGACAGCCCCAGGACGCGGCCATCCTCGGGGAATGGGGTGTCCCGGTGCCCCCGCACTCACCCAGAAGAGCAGGTTGAAGAAGAAGAGCACGTACTTGACCACCGGGCTCACGAAGGAGAAATCGTCCATGAGGGGCCCGGCGGGGGCCGCCGTCCGCCTCGCCATGGCCGAGCGGGGCCGAGCGCAGCCGAACGGGGCCGAACGCAGCCGAACCTGACCGGACCCCGCTTTGCCCCTCAGCGAGCCCCGCTCCGCTCAGCCACGCCCCCTCCCCTCCACGCCCTCTCATTGGCTGCATCTTCCTCCTTCTGCCTTCCCATTGGTTAACCGCCCTGTCACTCAACCCCCGCCGGTCCCGCCCCCCGCGCGGTGTGGCACTGCCGCACCTGTCCGTGCTTTAAAGGGCCAGCGCACCCCTTCCCCATCCCGCGCGGGGCCGGGGTCGGGCTCAGATCCCGCCTGGAAACTTCCTGAATCCCTTCCCGAAAGTGCCCGAACAGTGCGGTCCGTGCCCCAGAGAACCCCGCAGCTTGGCGGAATTGTTGAATTTTATAATTATATCTATAATTCGTCATTGATTTGTGCCCCGGGTGACAGTCCTCCAAGGGACACGGGGGAATTCTTGTCCCTGAATCGTGGCCAGCTGAGGTCATTCGGGATTTTCCTAAAAGGACGTGGCTGAGTCTCTGACCCAAATTTGCTGAAATCAGCCCCAAACCCTCCAGTGCTGACACCTCAGTGACTTCTCCTGCACAGGGAGGTGGAGCCCAAACCGCATCCATTCCCCTCTGCTGCCAAAACTGGGACGCTTTGGTGAATCCTGGGACACGAGGAAGCAACAGGTTCCTTCCCCAGCAGGATCCAACCCTCAAATCCCATTTTTGGGATGAATTTTGCCCTATTTTTTTGCCTCACATTCTCAGTTTTTGTGAGAAAAACCTCACTCTTGGGCTTAGAAAAGAGATGTCACCTTGTGCCACCACCCTTTGCTTGGAAAGAGCATCGACTCACAGTTATAATTTAATTTATTTTTATTCCATTTTTTAATTTTTTCTCTTCTACTCCTGGCTGGAAATTCCCTGGGAGCAGATGCTGGCACGGCCCTTTCCGGAGGAAGACGAGAGCTTCACACAGAGGAACCAAAACCAAAAATCCCCTTTGTGCTTTTAGGGTCACGGAGAAGCCAGTCCCACCTCCAGAACATTGGGGTGCTGCTGTGGAGGAGCCCCCGTGAGCCCCCAAAATGCTGATGGGGTCTTGACCACCAGGTCTTGGTGGGGTTTGAACCTCACAGAAGAGTTTCTGTCCCTACAATGAAGATGATGGCACCCATGGATGCCACTCTGGGATGTCCACGGATCTGTGTGATTCCCAAAAAACCCCCACCAGGTTCGTGTGTCCTCCCATCACATCCCTTCTCCTTGGCATGTGTCCCCATGGATGTGTCCCCATGGGTGAGGTGACCCCAAGTGACCCCACAGTGGTCATGCCACCACCCCACTGTCCCCAGCTCATGGTGGCCATGTCCCACACCCCATGTTGGCCATGTCCCACACCCCACAGTGGCCATGTCCCACACCCCACAGTGGCCATGTCCCACACCCCATGGTGGCCCTGTCACACACCCCATGGTGGCCGTGTCACACACCCCACAGTGGCCATGTCACACACCCCATGGTGGCCGTGTCACACACCCCATGGTGGCCATGTCCCACACCCCATGTTGGCCATGTCCCACACCCCACAGTGGCCATGTCACACACCCCATGGTGGCCGTGTCACACACCCCATGGTGGCCATGTCCCACACCCCATGGTGGCCATGTCACACACCCCACAGTGGCCATGTCAAACACCCCATGGTGGCCTGTCCCACACCCCATGGTGGCCATGTCCCACCCCCCATGGTGGCCGTGTCATACCCCCCATGGTGGCCGTGTCATACCCCCCATGGTGGCCGTGTCATACCCCCCATGGTGGCCGTGTCATACCCCCCATGGTGGCCGTGTCATACCCCCCATGGTGGCCGTGTCCCACACCCCATGGTGGCCATGTGACACACCTCTGGTGGCCCTGTCCCACACCCCATGGTGGCCGTATCACACACCCCATGGTGGTCCTGTCCCACACCCCATGGTGGCCATGTCACACACCTTGCAGTGGCCATGTCACACACCCCATGGTACCCATGTCATACACCCCATGGTGGCCGTGTCCCACACCCCACGGTGGCCCTGTCCCACACCCCACGGTGGCCGTGTCACACACCCCACGGTGGCCCCTGCCCTGGTGTCCCCTTCCCAGGGCTCAGCAGTGCTCCAAGAAAGGGACATTGAGCCCAGGGCTCCGTCCTGGTGTACCCCAAACCCCAGAGCTGGGTGTGGGACAAGGGTGGGATCCATGGGATGGGATGGGATGGGATCCATGGGATGGGATGGGATCCATGGGATGGGATGGGATGGGATCCATGGGATCCATGGGAGGTGCCAGGACAGGGATGGACAGGAGGACACAGGGAAGGAGAAGGGAGGCTCTGATGGCCCCCAGAGCCGCAGTGGTCGCCATGGGAGGA